TGCGGACACATCCCCGATAGGGGGTGTGCAAGAGGCAGCTGATTGATGTTTCTCTCTCATCGACGTTTCTAGCTCTCTATCTCTCTCCCTTCCTCCTCTCTGTAAAATATCAATAAAATATATTTTTTTTAAATGTTGAAAATTGCTTATCTAGTCCAATCCATCCCCATGTCCTGCCAATTCTACCCCCAAAATAGGCCTGGAACTTCCCTTCATCTCCATCTTCACCATCTGGCCCAGGCCTCCATCATCTCTCACCTGAGCCAGCTGACATCCTGCTATCCACTTTGTCCCCTCTACTCTGCCCTCCCCCCAGCAACCACACTGATTTTTTAAAAATATATTTTATTGATTTTTTTTACAGAGAGGAAGGGAGAGGGATAGAGAGTTTGAAACATCGATGAAAGAGAAACATCGATCAGCTGCCTCCTGCACACCCCCTACTGGGGATGTGCCTGCAACCAAGGTACATGTCTTTGACTGGAATCGAACCTGGTACCCTTGAGTCTGCAGGCTGATGTCCTATTATCTGCTGAGCCAAACTGGTTAGGGCCACAGTTATTTTTTTACAATGCAACTCATGTTCCTCACTGCCTACACTCCTTTAATAATTTCCCAATTCACTTAGTATTAACCTACAATTCTTTACACAGTTTACAAGACCCTGTGTGATTCCTTTCCTTGCTTACCTCACTGCCTGCAACCCTCCCCTCAGTACCTTACCCATCAGCCTTCATCCGCAGCTGGCGATGATGCTGTTTCTCAGAAAGGCCATGTGAAGCACTTAACACATAGGGCTTCGCTTCTAGTAGGCACTCAGTAACCGTCGGCGGTCATTATCCTGCCTCTGGGCCTTCCAAGTGCTGTTCCTGTTTGGGACGCTCTTCCTGGTACTCCTCTGACTAACTCCTGCCCCTCCATCAAGACTCTATTACTTTTCTGTTGCTGCATAGCAAATTAATCACAAACTAAGTGGCTTAAAACAACACCAATGAATATTCTCACCGTCTCCAAGGATCAGGAGTCTGGCACTTTTTAGCTAGGTCCTCTGCTCAGGATCTCACAAAGGCTGAAATTAAGACCAGCTACATCCTCATCTGAAGGCTCCACAAGGGACAGAGCCACTTCTAAGACCACTTAGGTTGTTAGCAGGATTTAGTTCCTTGTGGTTGTAGGACTGGAGCGCCATCATGGTCTTGGTAGCTGTTAGCCTGAGGCCATCCTCAGCTGCTAGTGGCCTCTCTCAGGTCCTCGTGGGTGGTTTCCTCCATTACACTCTCACAGCATGGCCGTTTATTTACCTCTTCAAGGCCGGCGGCAGAATTTTTCTCAGGCTTTAGCCGAAGCCGGTTTGGCTCAGCGGTAGAGCATCGGTCTGCAGACTGAAGGGTCCCAGGTTCGATTCCGGTCAAGGACATGTACTTTGGTTGAGGGCACATTCCCGGTAGGGGGTGTGCAAGAGGCAGCTGGTCGATGTTTCTCTCTCATAGACGTTTCTAGTTCTTTATCTCTCTCCCTTCCTCTCTGTAAAAAAATCAATAATATATATATATATATATTTTTTTTTTTTTTAAGAATTTTTCTCAGGCTTCAAATCTCTTCCTTCATTCAGTAAGGGCCCTTTGAACCAGCCCGCCCAGAATAATCTCTCTTTTGATTAACTCAAAGCAACTGATTGGAGGCCTTAATTACACCTGCACAGTCCTTTCACCTCTGTCATAAATCTAATCACAGGAGTGAAATCTCATGTTTGCAGTCTCACCCACACCCAAATTGGGGGAGATAATATAGGAGAGCATGACCACCTGGGCCTGGGAATGCTGAGGACCCTTGCAGAATTCTGTCTGCCATGAGGTCTCATTCTAAAATCATTTCTTCAGGGACCTTCTTTCATATAACACTGTAGTGTTATTATATATGAAAGAAAGCACCTACCACAGGGACCTACCACAGTTTGTAATTGTAAACTTATTTATAAGTTGTAAACTTATCTATCTTATTGTTTCTGTGATGCACTTTTCGCTTGTTTGATTCTCTGCCCTGAGCCCTGGGAGCTCGTGAGGACAAGGACTTTGTCTTGTTCATCAGGGTTCCCCATAACCAGTAGAGCAGTTGGCAATAATAACTCACTGAGTGAATGAAAGATGAAGAGATGTATAAATCAAGACAGGGATTAACCTCCTCACACATTTAACAGAAATGAGAAGGAGTGTAGCACCAGGTCCTGTGATTCCTGTTCTATCCTTTTTAATCTCACTTCATCCTCATTGTTACTATTACCCTGTTTCCCTGAAAATAAGACAGTGTCTTATATTAATTTTTTCTCCCAAAGTTGCGCTAGGTCTTATTTTCAGGGGATGTCTTATCTTTCCATGCACTAGGTCTTATTTTCGGAGGATGTCTTATTTTCCGGGAAACACGGTAGTAGTCTTGTTTTACAGAAGGGGGAGGGGCTTTAGACTTTCTTGCTCTAAATCAGTGGTCAGCAAACTCATTAGTCAGCAGAGCCAAATATCAACAGTACAACGATTGAAATTTCTTTTGAGAGCCAAAACCTGACATCCGTGCATCGGCCACGAAGTTTCAATCGCACTGAACCTGAGCACCCGCACGTGGTGTTTTGTGGAAGAGCCACACTCAAGTGGCTAAAGAGCCGCATGCGGCTCGCGAGCCGCAGTTTGCCGACCACTCCTCTAAATCCTGTGGCAAGTAACTAAAAGACCCAGGATTTAAACCCAAGATTGTCCTCAGTATAAATATTGAGAATCTTCTTTGGATTCAAAAGATTTGGTTGGAGAATTGGATCTGCCACAACTTACTGGCCCCGTGAACTGTCACGGGTCACTTCAGCTCTGAGGCTGTTTGTGAAATGGGTGTGGTCGGCAGGAGCAAGATAATGTGTATAAAGTTGTTTAAACTAGCAGGTGGTCAGTAAACAGAGCCAGTGGTTCTCACAGGCCAAAGGGCCACCTCGATTGAAGTGATAGGCCTGTTTGGTTGGACCGGGGGGGGGGGGGGGGGTTAGGTAGGTACGAGGGAAGGGAACCCAGAAAGAGAAGCCTGTGAACAGGAGGGTGTCCGGCGGACCTGCTTGGTGTGACCCTACAAATAAAAATGTGAAGTTGGCCAAAACCGGTTTGGCTCAGTGAATAGAGCATCGGCCTGTGGACTGAAGGGTCCCAGGTTCGATTCCAGTCAAGGGCATGTACCTGGGTTGTGGGCACATCCCCCCCTGGGGGTGTGCAAGAGGCAGCTGGTAGATGATTCTTGTCGATGTTTCTAACTTTCTATCCCTCTCTCTTCCTCTCTGTAAAAAAATCAATAAAATATGTTTGTTTTTTAATGTGAAGTTGCAGAGACTTACATGGAAGCCAGTCTGGAGGGGACCATTTGCTGACCAGAGCTGTCCATCAACTAGCCTCCCTCTCCACTGCCCTGGGAGTTCTTGGCTCAGGTGGGGGCAGGTCCTTCAAAAGCTTAGGGAGGCCCTGGCAGAGAAGGCGTGAGCTCTGAGTCCTCCAGAGGTCAGGGCCTCCACTACCCTTTGCCTCTGCTTCTCAGGATGCTCATCACCACAGGAGGGACTCACTGGGAAAGGGGTGAAGCCGGCAGGAGAGCTGAAAGGCCAGGCCATCCATAGGGATACAAATCTCCCCCTCTCATCAGTGTCCTATGTTCCACTGTGGATTCACCACATGCGTCTCCTTAGCACCCTCTCCTATTCTTCTCTTAAAAGGGACTCTACCGCCCTAATCGGTTTGGCTCAGTGAATAGAGCTTCGGCTTGTGGACTGAACGGTCCCAGGTTTGATTCCGGTCAAGGGCATGTACCTTGGTTGTGGGCACATCCCCAGTGGGGGGTGTTCAGGAGGCAGCTGATCAATGTTTCTTTCCCATCAATGTTCCTGACTCTCTTCCTTCCTCTCTGTAAAAAATCAATAAAATATATATTTTTAAAAAATATATATTTTATTGATTTTTTACAGAGAGGAAGGGAGAGAGATAGACAGCTAGAAACGTCGATGAGAGAGGAACATCGACCAACTGCCCCTTGCACACTCCCTACTGGGGATGTGCCCGCAACCAATGTACATGCCCTTGACCGGAATCGAACCTGGGACCTTTCAGTCCGCAGACCGACGCTCTATCACTGAGCCAAACCGGCTTCGGCAATAAAATATTTTTTTTTTAAAGGGACTCTACCACCTGCCTTTAGCCCACTGAGTCAATGTTGGTGAAACACTCATCAGCTCTTCCTCTGACCCAAAAGAGCCCAGGGCCCTGCTTGAGGTTAAGTCAGAGAAATGGAGTTGAACTGAGAGAGGGTGTGCTCAGAGCCTCCTGCTGCCCTGCCCAGTGATGGTCACCCGTGAGCTGGAATGCTTTGGGCCAATCCAGAGGAAGGGAGAAGGATAAAGATCTAGAAACATCGATGAGAGAGAAACATCAATCAGCTGCCTCCTGCACACTCCCTACCGGGTATGTGCCCGCAACCATAGCACATGCCCTTGACCAGAATCGAACCTGGGACTCTTGAATCCGCAGGCCGACGCTCTATCCACTGAGCCAAACCGGTTAGGACTCATCGATGATTCTAACGCTCTATCCCTCCTCTTTCCTCTCTATAAAAAAAAAAAAAAAAATCAATAAAACATCTTTAAAAAAAAAAAAAAAAAGGCAGCTAGAGCCCGTCTCTGTTTCTCTCCCCTGACTTCGATGCTCCATTGGCTTTCCTCTCTGAGGGCAGAGGAGTGAAGCCTCTGTTTCTTCCTCTGCTAAATGGGAATAACTATACTTCCCTGCCACCACCCCCATGTCTTATGGAGCTCTGGTGAGTAACTATAGGGGAAATGGCCTCAGTGGCAAAATACTTACCTGGTGACAAGAGGACCCCAGATTGGAGCGGCTGTGAGGGATGTGAGGGTGGGCAGGGCAGATGGGCCCAGAAGATGTGTGTTCACCTTGTCATCCTCCCCAGGTGAGTCCCAGGCCTGGGTTGCCATGGATACCGTGTCCCTAGAGCATCAGATCCAGAGCGTGCAACGCCACATCGGCTTCCTGAAAAAGGAGCAGATGGCCCTGCTGCGAGACCTGCACCTGGAGATCCTGCGGCTGCAGAAACGCTGCTCAGGTGAGGCCAGGAGGGGTGGCTGCGGGGGGGGCGGGGAGGAGGGCAACGGCCGTCATCACCGTCCTTGTCTCTGATGGGGTGTCCACTGTGAGCCCCGCAAGCTTCAGAGCAGTCCTCCTGCCAGTGGGGGGCATCACCCGTTTTTCTCAAGGAAGATCTGAGTCTTCAGGGTAACGGGGTTCTCAGTCGGTAGCAGAGAGAAACCTGGGAACCATTCCTGGGAGTTTCCTGTCCCATTTTTTTTTTTTTTATAATTTTCTTTTTTTAAAATATATTTTATTGATTTTGTAAAGAGAGGAAGAGAGAGAGATAGAGAGTTAGAAACATCGATGAGAAAGTCATCCATCAGCTGCCTCTTGCACACCCCCTACAGGGGATATGCCTGCAACCAAGGTACATGCCCTTGACAGGAATCGAACCCGGGACCTTGCAATCCCCAAGCCGACACTCTATCCATTGAGCCAAACTGGTTTCGGCTCCTGTCCCTTTCTAATAAGTCTTCATCAGCACCTTCCAGCCCCAAGAAAACCTCAGTTTAATTGGGGACACACACACACACACACACACACACACACACAGTATTGAGATAACAGAAAATAAAGAGGGCTGCCAAAGCCGGTTTGGCTCAGTGGACAGAGTGTTGGCCTGCAGACTGAAAGGTCCCAGGTTCAATTCCGGTCAAGGGCATGTACCTGGGTTGCGGGCACATCCCCAACAGGAGGTGTGCAAGAGGCAGCTGATCAATGATTCTCTCTCATTGATGTTTCTAACTCTATCCCTCTCTCTTCCTCTCTGTAAAAAATCAATAAAATATAAAAAAAGTATATATAAAAATAAAATAAAATAGGACAAACTTAAAAAAAAATAACAGAAAATAAAGAGGGCTGATGGGAGTTCTTTGGCAGGACCATGTCCAGCTTGAGGTGGGTGTGATAAAGGAGGAGATGGACATCCCGGGCCCCCAGATAAAGGAAGCATTTCCACTCCCACAGGCTGAGGAAGACGTGTACATGCTGAGCTGTTACAGGGGCAGAGGGGTGAGGGAGCATTCCAGATGAAGGGAACAGCGTGGCAAACTCCTACATAGGTAGGACCCCACACGCTTCGGAAGCCTTCTATTCCATGGATACAGCTGAGCTTAAAGAGGGGCCTGGTGAGGAATGTTATGGAGCGAGTCCCCAAGAGATGGACCACCGGAGCCAATTTGATTAAGCATGCTAGAATTTATTACAGATTCGAATCCGGGCTCAAACCATGGCTAACGCACCCAGGTAAGAGCCCCGATGGAGGGGCAGTCCCTCCAGAGCGCTCACACAAAAACCCAGACAAACACACACCTACCGCGGCCAGTCAGACTCTCCGGATCGGGGTCCCTCATGGTCCTAGGACCACCAGGGAGCCGAGTCCGATGCAATAAACAAAAGAGCCTTCTCCATGCTAGCATGGGCCCCCCCACTCACACCAGCAGCATGGCGGAAGAGAGCGAACTTGGCCCAGTCCAGGGGTTTTACTCAGGTCGGTGATGATGTCACTGCCTCGGCTAACCCTGATTGGCCCCTCAGGACAAAGAACTGGCCGTTCATATCTGTTCCTAAATCCTAAAGACTAAATTCTAAACACTGGGGACAGCCAGCAGGGTTGGTTCCCAGTCACACCCTGCTGGACATTGGAATGTGGCCCTATCTTGCCCAGAATACAAAAGCAGAACTGAAGGTTATCTATAGCTTCTACCCCTGAAGCTACTGAGTCAGTGGGAGTCAATCTCCTGTAACTACCCTATTGTTTAAGCAAGTAATCGAAGGTCGAAGTCAGATAGCAAGGTTAAAATTCAAACAGCAGTTTTTACCCAAGTATGATTGCTACCTTATTTCAAGGAAGAGGGCTGGAGCCAGGTCACCGAGGATCTTGACAAATGCAGCGGAGAAGTTCGGCCTGTCCTGCGTGGCGGGAGTCGCTGAAGGTCTGGGGCAGCATCACGCTGCATGACGAAACTCAACCATTGTGTGGGAGAAGCACTGGCGAGAGAGGGGCTCAGGGGGACCAGTGACAGGGCCGATGAAATGGTCCCGAGGAGAGAGGAAGGGGGAACGGATGGAAGGAAGGGAGTTGGCAACAGATTGGGTTTGAGAGCAGGATAGAGGGAAGCACTGAGGACAAAGCTGAACCCCGGGCCTGACCTCCTGCCTGGCCCTCACCCAGGCCTGGCTCTGCCCCAAGTGCTCACCCAGGCCGAGTCTCCAAGCCCAGGCTTCAGAGCCAGTGACCATAGGATGTCTCAGCTGAAACAGCCCAACCTCCTCAGAGTACAAGCAGGTAAACTGAGGCTCAAAGAGAGAAAAAGAGACAGACAGACAGACAGACAGACAGACACAATATGCTAATGGCAGAGCTAGGATTAGAACCCAGATCTCTAGACTTCCCATCCTTCTTGCCTCTACAGCTTTCCTCATATTCTTTCCCCAAGATGACCAGACTCATATCACTCCTCCAGGCTCATGGGAGGTTCTCCATTCCCTGGAGGGAAACTGAGGCTCAGAGCCACCTGGCTGACTTCTCACTTTGTCAGGAAAAACCGGTAGTCCTGACGCTCCGCCCTCACAGGCGCCTCCCCCTCCCTGTGCCTGGGTCCAAGGCCAGGCTCCCCGCAGTCTCCTCCAAAGCCTGCATGGCAGCAGCAGTGCCAGCCCCACACATACTCACCCCTGCCTGATGCCCCTTTTCGTTGCAGTGACATTAAAGGAAAATTGAGATGAGCGAATCCTCAGACCCTACAGCTCCTCCTCTAGTTCCTTTTTGTTTTGCCCTCGTTCTGAAGACCTGGGTCCTTCCACTCAGGACCCAGGCCAGGATCCAAGAAAGTATAACAGGCAGGAACAGAGTGCCCTCGCCCCCATCATCCTTCTCAGATGGGTGTGGGCCCGCAGCCTCTAGGTTATTGATTAAGGAGATAAAAATAACTCTGAGCTGGCCTGGGGCAGCCACTCTGGGGGCTGAAATGACTGACTAAGGGCCTCCCTCCAAGGGGTGGGGGAGTGAGGAGAAGATAACAGAACAAAAGAGATTTTTTTGTGTGTTTGTTTTTGTTTTTGTTTAAGAAGATTCTAGAGCCAGCCTGTCAAACTCAGGCCGGCGGCCATATGCCTCATTTGGCCGAGAGATTGACAATCTTGCTCTAGAGCAGTGGTCGGCAAACCGCGGCTCTCAAGCCACATGCGGCTCTTTGGCCCCTTGAGTGTGGCTCTTCCACAAAATACCATGGCCTGGGCGAGTCTATTTTGAAGAAGTGGCATTAGAAGAAGTTTAAGTTTTGCTGGGACCAGTTTGGCTCAATGGATAGAGCGTCGGCTTGGGGACTGAAGGGTCCCGGGTTCGATTCCGGTCAAGGGCACGTACCTTGGTTGCGGGCATATCCCCAGTAGGGGGTGTGCAAGAGGCAGCTGATCGATGACTCTCTCTCATCGATGTTTCTGGCTCTCTATCTCTCTCCCTTCCTCTCTGTACAAAAATCAATAAAATATATTTTTAAAAAAAAAAAAAAAAAGAAGTTTAAGTTTTAAAAAATTGGCTCTCAAAAGAAATTTCAGTCATTGTACTGTTGATATTTGGCTCTGTTGACTACTGAGTTTGCCCAACCACTGTTCTAGAGGACACGGAAGGGGATGGGCGATGGAGGGGCCAGGGTAGGCACCAAGGAGGCAGAGTACGGGGAGAGCCTGCCAAAAAGAGATGAAGACTCAGAACGAAGGGCTTGAGGGGGATGAGTGTGTTCTAGGTGGCAAGGCAGCGGGACAAGAACGGGAACTACCCCTGTGTACTCAGCCCTCTGTTTCTCTCCAGCCCAGCACCAGCCCTTGTGACGCAGGAGCAATTTTGTCCCCATTTTGCAGATGAGAAAACTGAGCCTCAGAAAGGTGTCGTCACTGGTCCAGGGTCACAGTGTATCTGACCTCACAGCATGCTCATCTACACTGAGGGAACTCTGACCAGAAGATGAGCAGGGAGAGTTGATGGATGGGGACACGGGGCCCGGCTGAGACTCATCTCCTCTTCCTCAATTCCTGTGGTTAAGGGCTGAGGAGAAACCAGTCCACCGGGAGAGAGCAGCATCACCAAAATCCCTGGGCTGTCCCTGAGCCTACGCCAGGTTCCCCTGAGCTACAGCGCAGGGCCCTTGGAGGAGGGAGCCCTGGGGATGGAGCATCAGAGTCCTTCCGGGGGCCCCAGGGAGGAGGTTCAGGCTCAGGTCATAGCGAAAAGCCCAGGCACCCCAGCTCTCTGTCTCCTAGCAACAGCTGGCGTCCCCGGGGAAGGCGCCTCCAGCAAAGCCCCTCATTCTCTAGGAGAGCTGGATGAGGGCAGAGAGGAGAGGCAGCTCAGGGCCCACACGGCTGTCTCTGTAGGGGCTGCCACAGAGGAGGTTCCAGACATGCGTTACCTCCTCCCACCCAGGTTCACGGACACACAAAGGTGCTCCTGAGCAGGTGCCCTCACATAGGCAGCTGTAGCTCCCCAGAGTCCCTGTCCAGCTCCCGGGGGAGTCGGGGAGGTGGGATAGGGCTAGAAAAATGATCAAACTCAGCTGGCTGAGGGATATAACCTTCTGGGGTGGAAGGAACGGGGCTGGGGAGACAGCCAGGTAGAGAGGTGTGGCTGGGCTGCCAGCCTGTGCCCAGGAGGAAACTGCCCCTGCACTAGCGCCCTTGGCGGGCTCCTTGGCTGCCCCACCCCTTCAGCACCGAGCCACACGTGTGGTTCCAAGTGCCCTGCATGCTTTACATCACCAGGTGGCGCTGTCCTCCTTGAAGCCCCTCTCACTGCCTGGCAGAAAGGGGCTGGGAAAGGGGCGGGGCTCATGTTCAAAAAATAACAACATTGGCCCAGCCTTACCGGCTGTGAAAACAGAGAAACACATGTCCTCTTGGTAAATTGCCATTGCCTGAATCCCCCTCCAGTGGCACCGAGCAGCCCAGCCAGGACACTCAGCCTTCCTGGATCCACCAACTAAACACTAAAGAGTCTGTGCCCGGGAACTCTTTCCCCCTCCCCACACGGGAGTCTGTGCTTGTTTCTCAATAAATTTCCACCTTTGCTATTTTAAAAACAAACCAGCGACACGTCTGTACCCTCTGCAGTGGTGGGGGGGAGGGGGGGGCTTCTTGAGACCAACTCTGATGGGTGGCGTGTTCAATATTTGTACATCACCCCTGGGAAGAAGCAAATCCTTCCCCAGCCCCAAAGCAGCCAAGCTCCTCAATCCCATCAGGGTTGAACTAACTCCCAAATCTAAGGCACAAAGCTGGCACTGGGCTTAGAACGAGGCAGATCAGGCTCAGGCTATGCCTTGGTGCCTCTCTTCACCTCTTCCCCGGTGGGGCTGTAGCACAGTGGGCCTGGGGGAGTGATTTGGATCCTTATTGCCACTTTTACTGAGCTGTGATTCCCTGATCTCTCTCTCTCTCTCTCTCTCTCTCTCTCTCTCTCACACACACACACACACACACACACACACACACACACAAATAAACAAAAAACTGCCTTTTCTTTTCTCTCCCCCCAGAACTGACCCGTGACCTGGAGATGAGAGAGGCCCAATCTCACCAGCAAGGTAAGAGAAGGATGGCTGGTGGGGAGGTGCCATGGGGGCCCAACAGGTCACCTTTCCCCCCCTGTTAGTAGGATCCAAGCCTTCCGTGTCCCAGTCCAGACTTGGTGAGCACAGGCCAGGATGTCAGCCCCATGTGTGCGGTGAACAGCCTGCACCACCATACACAGTGCCCTGTAGCCGTGTTCCTGGCCAAAGTAGGAAAATGAAGCAGGGAGGAGGTGGTGTCCAGGAGGTCCACCTGGCTGAATTACTTCCTCTCTGTAACCTCTCTCCCCAATCCTTCCCATCCGTGCACAAATGATTCCCAAGGTCACGGTCCGAATCCTTAAGATGGTGTCAAGATGCAACACAATGACACTATGGGGTCCTTGACTTCAAGGAACTGAGTCTGGAAGAGAAAGTTGACACAAGCACATTAGCAAATCCATCATTTTACCATTCTCCAGCCCCAAAGATTTCCCTACTAAAAGACTTTTTTACAGGTTACTAGTTCACCCATTAAATGGCAGGTGAGGTGGGGAGATAGTATTCATGGGGTATAGAGTTTCAGTTCTGCAAGATAAAAAAAAGTCCTAGATGCTCTAGCTGGTTTGGCTCAGTGGAGAGAGCATCAGCCTGCGGACTGAAGGGTCCCAGGTTCGATTCTAGCCAAGGGCACATGCCTGAGTTGCATGCTCCTCTCCGGTTTGGGGAAAGGGGTGCAGGAGGCAGCTGATCGGTTATTCTTTCTCATCATTGATGTCTCTATCACTCTCTCCCTCTCCCTTCCTCTCTGAAATCAATAAAAAAAATATATATTTTTTTAAGTTCTAGAGATCTGTATACTTAACAATACTGAAATGTACACTTAGAAATGGTAAAAAGTTTGTTGTTATTTTTACCAGAAATAAAACTATTTTTTTTTTTTTAATGGAAGGGGCCTAGCCGGTGTGGCTCTGTGGTTGAATGTTGACCTATGAACCAGGAAACAGTTGAACGTGGTCAGGGCACATGCCGGGTTTCTGGCTCCATCCCCAGTAGGGGGTATGATGGAGGCAGCTAATCATTCTGCCTCAATAATTCTCATCATTGAAGTTTCTATCTTTCTCTCCCTTCCTCTTTTAAATCAATAAAAATATTTTTAACAAAAAAATGGAAGGGGTCGCATTGTTGAGATCTTAAGCACCTGAGTATACGATCTCTGAGAATTAGGACTGGATTGGTACCTGTTGTCTCAAAGTACAAGACACATGACCTGACATGGACAGGGATTCCATAAATGCTTAACTAAAAATGAATCACAAAAATAGTCTTTCTCGCCGAAACCAGTTTGGCTCAGTGGTAGAGCGTCAGTCTGAAAAAAAAATCAATAAAATATATATTTTTTAAAATAGTCTTTCTCAGCCAGGAGAGAGTTAAGTATGGACTCCCTGCATATTGATGTGCTGCTTATAGATCAAAGTTAGGAATGAGAAAGCTGAAAATTTAAGGCAAAATGTCAGGAACCTTACAAATTGTTTCGGGTACGTGTGCATAAAGATCTAAACAGTTACGCATCTTCAGGAATTCTGCCCATTTAAGTGGCAACGGTGGGCACACTCTTGGTGCCCGGGGACTTGGTGGCAGGGGTCACACATCCCAGACACCAGGAAGGGCAGTTCTGTGACAACAGCAGCTTTCCCTCCACCTGCTGCCCTTACTCTGGAAGAGCTTTTGGGCTCACCGGCGCTCACGGCACTGCCCCCGTGTCCTCGTTTTTATCTTCTCCCGCAGTTGGCTGGAGCGCTCTTTGTCCTCTCTTTCTGTGAAAGCCAAGTGCTTTTCATGTCCATTGCAGAGTCACCTTTTACCTGCGCTTTTGTCGCTTTCATCCACCCATGTCCCTGCACTCACTCACAGGTGCCAATCCTGAGCTGCTGAAGTGAAGCTACTAATCCAGGAAGCAGGGGTCCTTAACCCGGGAGGTGCATGGGAACCACCTGGGACGATTTAAGAGGTGCTGCTTCCCTGGTTCCGGCCCAGAGGTTCTGATCCCACTGCTCTTTGGCAGGAACCTGGAAACTTTCTTAAAGCTCTCTGGATGGCTCCAGCCGATACGCTGGGTTGAAACCCAATGCAGTAGGCAAAGGCAAGCAATAAAGGAAACAAAATATAATAAACATTCTCTCCACAAAGCAAGGTTCCGGCTCCCTCACTCCCCTTTCCTGCCCACCCGCCCAGTTCTAACAGTCCTTGCCTCTGGCAGGTCTCTCGGCGGCAAGGTTCCTGTACAAGTTGTTCCTCTGCCTCTAGCACCGCCTCTCCTCTCCGCACTGTGGACCTCACTCCCATTCATCTTTCAGATTCCAGCCCATGTCACCCTTCTACTGAGCCTCCCCTGACTCCGTCATAGTCTCCTGTTAGTCATGGCATGGGCACATCACATGTGAAGCTCACGTTTGTAATTATGTTCTGTACCTCTCCCGTTGTGCTTGCTGTAAGCTTAATGTTTTCTTTCTTTTTTAAAAAAAAAAATATATATTTTTAAAATTGATTTCAGAGAGGAAATGAGAGGGAGGGAGAGAAACAACAATGATGAGAGAGAATCATGGACCGGCTGCTTCCTGCACGCCCCGCACTGAGGATCTAGCCCACATTCCCAAGCATGTGCCCTGACTGGGAATCGATCCGTGACCTCCTGGTTCCTAGGTCCATGCTCAACCACTGAGCCACCCAGGCTGGGTTATGATGTTTTCTTATCCACCCCAGCCCCTGTGCCTGACACAGCGCACATAGGAAAGGCTCGGCGAATACTTGTGGGGTAGATAAATGAATAAGGAGAGTTTTGCATTTAAAACGAGAATAAAAGGGGAGAGCAAGCCGAGGGCAGGATAGGCGCCAAGGCCTGAGGAAGGAAAAGGAAGCCCCCACTCCCACCCCCACCCCCGAGCATAGCTGGGTACACAGCTGGGGGGTCGCAGGGCTTCGTCCGGAGGATGTCTGCACCCTCACCCCCCTCTCTCCCTTTTCCAGAGGAGGCGTCCCGGGAGCTGGAGCGCCGGTGCCGCGCGCTGGAGGCGCAGCTGGCGGCGCGGGCGGCGGCCAACGCGGAGCTGCGGCGGGAGGTGGCGCAGCGGGAGGCGCTGGCGGCCGCGCTGCGCTGCGGGCTGCGCGCCGAGGAGCGCCGCTTCCTGGAGGAGCTGCGCCGCCGCAGCCACCGCGCCGCCGTGCTGGGCGCCGAGCTGCAGAGGCACAGCGAGGCGGCCGCGCACCTGTCCGGCCAGCTGCACGCGGCGCGCCAGAGACTGCAGGCCCCGCGCCCCGGGCCCGCCGCCGAGCCCCGGCCCCGCCGGCGCGCACAGCGGGCCCGCCGCCCGCCCACCGAGGCCGCCGCCAAGGGCCCCGGCCGGGACTGGGCCGCCTGGGACCGCGCGGCCCGCGCCCTGGACGCCGCCGAGCCCATGCCCGACCCCGCGCTCTTCCTCTGCGCGCGGAGGCCCCCGCGGCCCGGCGGCCGCAGCCCGCGCCCGCCGCCGCCGCTGGAGCCCCCGGACCGAGCCTGCCCGCCCGCCGCGCCCGGGGCCCCGGAGTAGGCGCGGGGCTGGCGGGGCGGCGGGGAGGGAGGGAGGGAGGGAGGGAGCCCCCCCCCCTCCCGGCTGGAAACGCGGCCCGGCCTTGCAGACATGTCCCGGGGAGGGAGGAGGAGGGGAAAGGCGAGGAAGCAGGTCCTATTCCAGAGACCCATCTGAGGCAGCCCCGCTCCCCCTTCCCTTCCCGCCGCCCCGCCTTTTGTATTTCCCCACGTTTTCAAAGCTTCGAGCTCTCCCCTCCCGCCGAGGAGCCCCTCCGCGGGGCTCAGCGAGCGCGCCTTCTCTGTATGGGACTCGCAATACTGCTCCCATCTGGTCCCCACCCTGCCCCTGGGAGGGGAGCGGAGAGGTGGGGGGGGGGGCACCCCATCCCGGAAAGCTGACAATCGTTTGGGCCCCGGGGAAGGCTGGGCTGGTCTATGGAAAGGAACCCAGTGGCCCTTACCGCCCCTCTGCCTTCCAGCTCTACCCTCCCCAGCCCCGCACGCTGCCCTTCCCTCCCAGCCTTCCCTCTAGGAGAGGCTGGAGTTGGGGGGAGGGGGGGAGAGGGCGACTGGCTGGACCTTTTCCCCGGAGCCCCTTCTCCTCCCGACCCCGCTGACAGGTCCGTCCAGGTGAGCACCTAACACTTTAGATTTCCTGGTGGAAGTCACCGCCTCCCAGAGCCTCTGGGTGGGGGGAGCATGGCCCAGGGAAGTTGGGACTCCTGGCAGGCAGCACCCACAGACCCTCAGAGAGGACTGGGGTGCGTTTGGCGGCAGAGCCACCTGTGGGACATAGACGGGGAGCTGAGCTGGGGAAGTGAGGGGCAGCCAGGCCGATGGAGGGGCAGAAACTGCCTTCAGGAGGTAGCTGGGACCTGAGGCGCCCTGGGCCCTGGGAGGTTCTGGGTCCTGTCTATTGGTGCTAATTTTCTCAGCTTCGTGGCAGTGGCTGTTGATAGAGGTTTGGGTTTGCTGGGGAGGACGTCCCCAGCCAGGCCCCTCCAGGGAGGCCCCCAGTGCGGTCAGACCTGGCGGTGGTGTGGCGCTCAGGGTCCTTCTGTCTAGGGGGTGGGGGTGGCACGATAGAGAGTGGCATGCCCCATCTGCTCCTGGCCTTTCTCTGCTGCCCGCTCTCAAGGCCAAAGGCAGTTTCCAGCCCCCTCGTTGCTTTCGCCCCAAGCCCAACCTAGAAAGAAACACCTCTAGAGTCCCTCCCTTCCCCCCGCCTCCCTCCCCCCCACCCCCCTAGCCATCCTTCCTCTGTCATGGGCCCTGCATCGAGTCCTAAGTGCCTGTGAGGTCTTCCAGGGACTGCAGAAGGAGGACACGTGGCAGGGAGAGGCGTTCGCCTCCCTCTCAGACACCCCATCCTGGCAAAGCCAGTCTCTAGGGGAGAAGCATGCTTCTGCCATCATTTCCTCGGAGAAGAGGAAATCCCGACGTGCCCTCTTTTCGCTGCGCCTTGGAGGGAGTGGCAGATCGGCCAGAAGCAGAGCCCAGGAGCACAGTCCCAGCCCGCACGAACGCAGCGCCCTCCCCAGCCCGTCGCGCTGGGGCCTGCTGAGACCCCTGAGCAATAACCAGCTGGTCTAGGCGTCCGGCCGCTGGGATGAAGAGGCCAAGGTGTGGGCGTCCCAGGGCTCTCCCGTCGCACTCGGGCACGGCAGTGGCCTAGGGTCCTTGCTCTGCCTGCCCTTGACCCTCCCCTCCCAGCCTCTGTGCTTGTGCCTCTGCCCTCTGTGTCTCCCCTCGAGTGTGTGTAACTCGATGTTCCCTCATTCTCTCACCTCCCTTTCACAGCGTGACTGAAGGAGGCCTCTCCTCTCCCAGCTGCACCCACTTGAAGGAGCCAGAGGCCTGTGGAGAGGAGGGAAAGGGTGCTTTCCCGGAGGTGCCCCCCTCAGCTTCCGTCTTCCACAACCACACTTTGGGGTGAACAGGGTGACGCTGTTGTGTCGATGCTTCTACAGAGATGGTGAAATGCTTGGTCCACCCACCCACGAAAAGCCATAGTTCCCCCACTTTGCCTCCCCGCCCCCCAGCTCTATAGCAATAGCCCTCTTCCCCCTTCCCTCCTGAACCCAAGGTGTCTATCTGGGGACCCCTATCCAACCCCATCCCAGGGATCCTCAGGTGACCTGCCTGCCTCTCCCCAAGGGACCCCCCGTCAGCAACTCCCAACTCCTGTCCCTCTCCTAACAAGCAGGAATAATGACACTTAATTGTCTGTGGGGGTGCTTGGAGATCCCCCAGATGAAAGGTTCTGAGTGCTGGGGCGGCTGACTCAACGCTCAGCCTGGGAAAGGAAGCAAGACAACCCTTCCGCCTCCACTCAGCAAGCTGGAGGAGGGGCTGAGGCCGAAACGGGGTTCCCATTTTAACAGATTCCCTTTCCCCTCCCTCTCCTGGGCTGGAGACTTCCCTCCACCACTCTGCCCTGCTCTGGGTTTGGGACAAAACCCGCAGGGCAGCAGCACGGGACTAGAATCAGCGGCCTGCCCGTGGCCTCAAGGCGCCAGAGCTCAGCCTCGGAGGCCCCGCCCTCAGCTTCCGGCCCTCCCCATCCTCTAGCGTGGGGGGCCCACCCGCCAGAGGCAGACCCCCTCCCGCCAACCCCTGGAAAGCTTAGGTGACTGGAAGGGAAAGGATGGTGTCTTCTCCCCTCTTTGCTGCCCAGGGCCCCCATTGGGGGAGGGGGCGTGTTGACATGGGCAGTCAGGGTCCCTGTTGGAGCTCCAGCCGCTCCCCAAGTGTGGAGGGGCCCAGGAAGGAGGGCTGCAATATGAGGATCTGTTCCCTGCCTCCCCCTGTCCCACCCACAGTGGCCTGCAGTTTGGGGAATCAGTCCAAGGCTGAAAGGGGGTGAGCCTTCCCCACATCAGCAGAGGCAGGAGGCCAGGGGTGTGGAGTAGCACCCCAGTGCAGAGAGGTGGGGTGGGTCTCAGCACTGGTTGTTGAGGTGCCAGCCTTGAATGGGGGACGGGCAGGGCGGGGCGGAGGAAGCTTCCTGCTCCAAATTCTCTGTTGGCTGTGCTTTTTAATCCACTGCTTTTCAGAGTGTATTTATTCACTCACCCACAGAAATAGAGCCCTGTGCTTAGGGGTGACTGTCATATGCCTTATTCTTAATAAAATATCTGAAAAACACATAAGCCAGACCTCTTCTCTGTGGGCACCCCACCCTGTTCCCTGTGGTTTGGGAGCTGAGACTTGGGAATCCCCTCAGTAGATATTTCTCTCTTCTTTTATTTTTTTAAATATATTTTATTGATTTTATACAGAGAGGAAGAGAGAGAGAGAGAGAAACATCAATGAGAGAGAAACATCGACCAGCTGCCTCTTGCACACCCCCTACTGGGGATGTGCCCGCAACCAAGGTACATGCCCTTGACCGGAATCGAACTCAGGACCTTTCAGTCCCCAAGCCGACGCTCTATCCACTGAGCCAAACAGGTTTCGGCTCTCTCTTCTTTTAATATATATTTTTATTGATTTCAGAGAGGAAGGGGGAAAGAGAAAGAGGCATCAATGATGAGAGAGAATCACTGATCGGCTGCCTCCTGCACACCCCATGATTGAGCCCGCAAACCCAGGCATGTGCCCTAACTGGGAATTGAGCCGTGACCTCCTGGTTCAGAGGTCGACGCTCAACCACTGAGCCACACTGGCAGGGCTCAGTAGATATTTCTTTTCTTTTTTAATATTTTATTGATTTTTTACAGAGAAGAAGGGAGATAGAGAGCTAGAAACGTCTATGAGAGAGAAACATCGACCAGCTGCCTCTTGCACACCCCCCACCGGGGATGTGCCCGCAACCAACGTACATGCCCTTGACCGGAATCGAACCTGGGACCTTTCAGTCTGCAGACCGATGCTCTATCCACTGAGCCAAACCGGTTTCGGCTCAGTAGATATTTCTTACATAAGGCAGAGGGCACTCCTCTGAGTTGTCCCAATGCTCGACTAGCCCTGTCCCTCTCTCCGTGCCACCCCAATTCAAAGGAATCAAGGAGACCTTAGGTCAGAGGCTCCTGGCTAGGGCTGGGAAGGATGGGTTGGAAGTGCTCGATGCCTGGAATGGACCATCATCCTGGTATTCTGGCATTTTTGGCCATGCTGATCCCCTCCCCTGACACCATCCCCACCTGATCCAGCTGCAAAAAGCCAGCCTCCCAGGGAAGAGCCCTATTCTTATCCTCCACTCATGACGGTTACCCCGGGACGGCAGCTTGACAGCTCAGCACACCCAACACCCACGAGAATTCAAGCCTGTACATTTCAGCGTAGGCCTGTTGTGGGAGGCTCTAGAACAGCGATTTTCAACCGCTGTGTCACAGCAGGCACACTGGTGGGCCACAAGAGTTTTTAAAACAGTGCAAATACCTGACTATTTAGCTAGGGGCACTGACCTCTTTTCCCTTATCAAAAACAAGAAGTGATTGTCAAATTAAGGAATGATAACATTAAAAAAAAAATGACAACAGCTAACACAACTAGAGCTATCCAGTGTGAATGAATCAAAATTATAACTATTTTTGTCAAGTCAGCAAAAAAAAAAAAAGAGTATCATGCGGTGTGCTGCAGCATTTTAGTAATTTGCTTGTGTGAGCTGAGATGAAAAGGGTGGGGAATCACTGCTCTAAGAGAAAGGGCAGCAGCTCTGCATGCTGAGGCTGCAGGGGCACCATGGTTCTGCCTGCAAGCCTTCTGGTAGCGGGACACATTGCTTCCTTTTGGGTGCCTGCCCTTTGCCCATCTCAGTCTGTGTGTTGGGGGTGGGGAGGGCTGATCCCACACAGGTGACTGGAGTAAGGCAGGTCACAGTGATGGGGCTGGAGAAGGGCAGTTGACTCCCTCTGAGCCAATGAGCATTAATCCAAAATGGAAGAAGAGCGGGAATCGGTTTGGCTCAGTGGATAGAGCGTCGGTCTGCCGACTGAATGGTCCCGGGTTCGATTCCGGTCAGGGGCACATGCCTTGGTTGTGGGCACATTCCCGGTAGGGGGTGTGCGGGAGGCA